TTTTTAGACTATAAATAAATTCTGTAGTCACATGTAAGGTCACAGACACACGAACAGTTTACGTATGCATCATTCAAGAACCTGATGAGAGCACTCTGGTTTCTTTGGAGTATACAGTAGAAAGTACTCATCAAGAGAGAAGGGAGAAAGAGTCAGAAAATTATCCACCCACTGAAGGGTTCTTAGGCTCGAGCACTTGGCACACCAACATCTTTTGTAAAGCAGAATACAATCTCAGCACTGGGAAGGTAGAGAAACCTCTCAACTACCAAACGCAGTCTGTGCAGAGGAAGCAGACGAGACGGCAGAAATACTATATAGTGTTGGTTTCATATCAGACAGTGCAACACATCTCGTCAAGAGCAACATTTATGCACTCTAGTCTCATCTACACCTCTCTCATCTTGCCTGAAAATGATTCTCCTATTTTGCTTTCTTCAACTTTTATTTTTCCTCCAACCTTCAGCTACATAGGGAGCAAAAAGGTGGCACAGGGTAGCATAGGACCCCGACAAGACAAACTAGGGCAATTAGTGACAGATAGTGGGGACAAAGCTGAGCTCTTCAATGAGTTTTTTTGCCTCTGTATTCCTGGACTCGGATCAGGACAAATCTCCCAATTGGATCATAGACAGGCACAAAGGGGAAACCAGCCCACCAGCTGTTAGCACCGACTTAGTGAAGAAACACTTAGAGGGGCTGGATGTGTTTAAATCAGCAGGCCTGGATGATCTTCATCCAAGGGTGCTGAAGGAATTGGCCAGTGTCATAGCAGAGCCACTGGCACAGTTGTCTGAGCACTCGTGGTGCCTGGGTCAGGTCCCAGAGGACTGGAAAAGGGCCAATATGATTCTTATTTTTAAGAAGGGGAGGAAGGAGGATCCAGGTAACTATAGACCGGTTAGTCTCACCTCTATCCTTGGGAAAACCTTTGAAAAAATGATTAAGGATCACATTTGTGGGAGTCCAACGGGGAGAGAAATGCTAAAAGGCAACCAGCAGGGATTCATAGCAGGTAGATCCTGCCTGACTAACCTCGTTTCTTTTTATGACCAGGTCACAAAATGCTTAGAAGCAGAAATCGAGGTAGATGTCATCTGCTTGGATTTTAAGCAAGCCTTCAATACGATATCTCATTCTATTCTCACAGATAAACTGAGCGACTGACACAGATGATGACATGGTCAGGTGGGTGGCAAATTGGCTTAGGGTCGCACCCAGAGAGTGGTGGTGGACAGGTCAGTATTGACCTGGAAAGATGTGGGCAGTGAAGTCCAGCAAGGCTTGGTCCTTGGACCGGTGCTGTTCAACGTCTTCATCAGTGACCTGGAGGCAGGCATGGACGGCACTCTGCCCAAATTCGCAGATGATACCTAATGATGGGGTAAGTTTAACACGGCAGAGGGTAGGGAATGAATCTAGGCAGATCTGGACAGGTTGGAAAGGTGGGTGGAACAGAATAGGATGCAGTTCAATAAGGACAAATGCAAGGTGCTGGCACCTAGGAAGAAGGAATCACCAGCATGCTTACAGGCTGGGGGATGACCTTCTCAGCAGCATGGCAGTGGAAAGGGATCTCACTGTTGACTCCAAGATGAACATGAGTCGTCAATGTGACAAAATGATCAGTAAAGCTAACCGCACTATCACACATTAGCAGGTGCATGGTGAACAGGTCCAGGGAGGTGATACTTCCCCTTTATGTGGCATTGCTCAGGCTGCAGTTGGAGTACTGCGTCCAGTTTTGGGCGCTGCACTTCAAGAGGGATGTGGACAAACTTGAGAGGGTTCAGAGGAGGGCCACTCATATGGTTGGGGGCCTGCAGGCAAAGCCCTATGAGGAGAGATTGAGGGGCTTGAATCTCTTCAGCCTCTGCAAGAGAAGGCTGAGAGGTGATCTTGTGTCTGCCTACAAACTCATTGGGCGGGGGAGGGAGGGGGGCAGCAAGGAATAGCAGATGCTCTGTTTACCAGGGCACTCCTTGGAGTAACTAGGAACAACACAAACTGACGGAGAGCAGATTCAAGTTAGACACCAAGATGAACTTCTTTACCGGAAGGGTTGCCAGAATCTGGAATGGGCTTCCAAGGGAGATGGTGCTCTCCCCTACCTTGGCGGTCTTTAAGAGAAGGCTAGACATGCACCTGGCTGGGGTCAGCGCTCTTTCCTGCCCAGGGCAGGGGGTTGGACTCGATGACCTGCTAAGGTCCCTTCCGACCCAAACATCTATGAAACTTCATTCATTATTTAGCTCCACATCCACAAGACGCGTTTGGGAATACAGCTTGTATGAAAGAGGTGGTGTTACAACAGCAATCTAAATTTTCTGGACCCTGGAGAATCAGGTAAGTTATTCTGCATTTACTTCATATTAAGTCAGGTCCACCTAGAATCTGCAACTTCCTTCTTGCTCTCCTCCATTCAGTTGTATGCAATCTCTTGGCTGCCTTGGCCAACTGAACTTGTGATTTCATCTTGAGCTCTTTCAGCAAAGTCTCTCAAAGGAGCTGACCTTCTCTTGGGCAATTTTTTCAAAACCTACTTCATCTCTTGTCTCAACACCTTGCACATATCTTCACTGTTGATAACCTTTGTATTAGCTTGACCCTGAGCTCTACTCCTGGTTCCCACATGCTCATGATTTGAAAATCTCATTGTTTACCACTATCTGAATTCCACTCATGTATGGCGCTGCCCTAATGCCATTTCTGCTGAAATTCAGCTTTCATTTTTTCTTATCTTGACTGCTGCACCTCTCCTCTTTATACCGGCTGCAGTTTCAGCTTCCAGTGTCCAACAGATGCACATTCGGTTGCTTATCTTTTTTGCCATGCAAACTACTCGAAAAAAAAGAATAACACTACCTTCAAATAACCATTTAAGGATTCAGTTACCAATTATCTCACTTTTAAAAACCCTCCACACATTGGTTCCAACTGAACCCAAAGATGTTGCTCATCTCCCAACTGGTACTAACCTCCTTTGTTTCTGCAAACAATTTTTAGTGTAGGACCCTTCTCTTCTGCAGTTTCTTGTTCTCACATTATTTTTGCCTGCTACTATTCCTGCCACTTTTGATCTTACCCAAAAACAATTCTCCCCTTTTGCTTTACTCAATTTTTATTTTTCTCTCCTGTGCCCGTTAGTCATTATTTAGCTCTGCATCCAGAAAAAGAGTTTGGGAACATGGCTTGTATGAAAGAAGTAGTGTTATAACAGCAATTTAAAACATTTCTATGAGTACAGCATGACATTATGAATGTGTTTAAAATAGATGGTAAACCTTGCCATCATTAACAAGGCAATCCTCTTAATGCACTTTTTCCTTCTTTCTCTCTCAAACTGCAGATCTCCATTCCGAAGCATCTTGGGTACTCTGAATATCTAACAGTGATTCTCAAATGGGGTGCTGGAGCACCCTGGGGTGCCCTGAGACCCTTTCAAGGGTGCCATGGGGTGCCATACAATATTAGCACTGTTAGGTGCCAACATGATTCACAAAATAAATAAACAGATTTCAAATAGGAGTCCACAGCATTTAAAACATTCTGCCAGGCTGTGTTGTGGGCTTGCTGTGTTCTTGTGATAGAAAAATTGCTCTATTACTTTTTCATAGTCAAAAAACAAGGGAAAACTAAGAGCTGGCATTTTCCGAGGGGCCTGCAGTCTACAAAGGTTGAGAACCACTGGTCTACTGATATGAGAAAGGCACGTACCTGAAATAATTACGTTTGCTCTATAGCTATAATTATGCGGCCCATGCAGTTGAAAGCCAAGCAGATACCGTACTGGTAACAAAAGGAGCAGGTAACTGGTCCTTTTGTTACCAGTACGGTTGTTTTGTTTTGTTTTTTTAAATCAGTGCCCAGGATTAGGCGTCTACGCAACTTAAGGCAGCCAGCCGGCTGATTTCACAGGCAGATCGTGGGGCTGACTGCCGTTTTTCGAGGGCTTATCATGGTGGGGCCACATGCCTCTGATTGGCTAGTGTCCCCTTCCCCCACCCCCAACTGAATGGTGGAGGGCTGTCCGTTGTATGGCCCCACCCCTCACTGCTGATTAGTTGAGGGCTATCTGTCATGCTGCCCCACCCCTTACCACTGATTAGAGAGGGGTGGCCAATCAGCGGCGAGGGGGCGGGGTAAGGGGAGTGGCAGCTATCTTGCTGACAACCCCTCTCCCCTCTTCCCTCCCAGTAGCCAGGAAGACTGCTGGTTCCCACTGGGGAGCCAGCATTTTATTTTTAGTAAGATTTTCCTCTCCCAACAGATTTCACAGAGATCACCTGATTTTGCAACTTCTGCAAAATCTGTGCAGTCACGATTTAGTTAGATCCCTACCCATAATGGTTAACTTTTAACACCATAACATGGCTTAGTTGAAAATCAAGACACTATTCCCTTTATTCCGTCTTTTCCTTAATCTAGGATGGGTCTCATTAACCTTCTACAACCTCTTCAAATGTATGTTTGGAGAATACAAAAATGCAGAGATAGCAGAAAGATTACTTCAGCTATTTTCCAATCTATAAATCAAATTCGCTGCTGCACAGTGCAAGTGAACATTTGTTAGCTGCTACAAAGATTCCCAAACCCTGAATGTGGATTTATGATTAACATTTGCCGATATTACATTTCTTTAGGTATGGGAAAACTATTTCAGCCTCAGGTTGTTTTACCAGCATTTTAACTTGAGAAGACAGATGCTGAAATTCTTACATTCTTGATCAGTGTACTGTCAAAAAAACTTAGTAAATTTAATCACTTGATCATCAGGAGGTTTTTATTTCATTCTTCATTGCTCATTTAATCTCTTGAGTCTTGCACTAAATTGATGCAACGATTTGAGAGGTCTGAAATCAAAGAGAAATGCCGTATCTTAAAGTCCCCTGATCCTTTGATGCTAGAAGCTTAGATTTTTACATGAAAAATGAAGCGTCTGTAATAAATATGCTACTGCATAAGGAGCCAAACAGCATGATGAATAATTTCCCTCTTACCTCGGCTTTGCGGATACTCTCTCTGGCTTCCTCTATTTTTTGTTCCAGTTCTGCTCGGCTTTGTTCAGACACCACAGGGCCATGGCACTCTAACTCCTCGAGTGTCTAATAGTAAGAGAAAGATGCCACATATTTAGTACATTCTTGTGCGCTGTCTGCTGGATTAATATTTGGGACAATTCATGGAGTTAAGGTACCAGAGTGATGAGTGGTAGTGCCCTACAGAGCGCGCACACTGCAGACTGAAGCAACAACTCATTTAAAAGCACAATCTCTTATGGAAAATAACACTATGGGATGCTTCAAAACCCTAGCAAAAGCTTCGTGCTGTAACAAGTATCATGATCCTGGAAGCCCATTCCATATTGGGTCTTATATCACCCTCACTCCCAGAGTATTAGTGTGATTCCCCGTAGTGCTAAGCGATATGACTAATAAGTGTCTTTGTGGTTCACTGCCTCTCTCACCCCTTCCCTGTGGGAAGAATTAGGGAGAATGGTGAATGCAGTGCATCTTCTCTTGGCATTTTTTGGATTGGGCAGGGTGTGTGAAGTTGATCAGTGAGTGTATCTTGTGCTGGAAAAGGAACAACATAAGCTTGTGATGGGACTCTGTTCCTGCAGGTGAAATTTCCATTGTGCCAGAGCAGCAGAGAAGTCAGCGACCATCTTCATTCCAGAACCTCACTCAACTCATTAGCTTATGCTGGGCCCATGGCATGAAAATGCCTTTAGAGAGGGGAACCAAGACCTTGGATTTGACTTGATACTTTAGGGGAAGTCCATATAGAGAGGAGAGGACAGATATCATGTTCTTGTGGTATCCCACAAGACTGAAGAGACTTTGCTGTAGCACTCAGTAGTAGCTGGAGTTTCCTAAGGGCTGATGCCTTCATGCCTGGGAAAACTAACTGCTTTAGTTCATATGGGGAGTGACAAAGGTACAATGTATTATAACTGAAGCCAGCTACCTTCTCTTCAATAATACCCTCTTTAAAACATAATTCCATAGCATTTTTCAACATTAATCCAGCAATAAAAGTAAAATGACAGAACACCACATTGTGTTTTAAAACATTAAATGGTTTGGACTGCTCTGCAATAATTTTGCTGTGGTCAATAGGAGCCATGCCTGCGTTAGAGTGGTTCGTGAAGACTTGCTCCTTGGGGAATGAATTGAGCCTCTCTCTACTATATGGATATACAGTCAAACACACCATCACTTGAATGTTTATTTATTAATATTTAGGCCTTTGATAATACTCTTTATATAGAGTTTAAAGTGTTACATAGGACTTATGAAGTCTTCAGTGACTGCCTTTCTTCCTGTGAGAAAGGCATCGAGTTGGTGAGAAGGATCCAGATTTAGAACTAACTTTGCACCTTGGTCCATCAGAGCCTATGTGCTCAGTACTTGAGTCACGAGGTAAGATATCAGGGGAGTAAGAAAAGGGAGTCTGTTCTGGGGGGGTAATTTATAGTGTATTAGTGAAGGCTGGCTGATTTCAGCCAATTGCATTTTTGGACCCGAGGATCTGCAACAGCATCATGAGCTGAGACTGACGAGAAGGTGGGAGAAAGGGTGCCCAGCCACAGAAAGTGGTGCTCGGTGAAATCGTAACAAACAGAAGGCCTTTGCGGTGGGCGAGTGAGAAAGCAGAACTAGGGCTGCAGGGTAAATGAACAGATAAGGGCAAAAAGGCAGGCAGCTAAGGAGGTTGGATGGGTCGTGAACGTGGAAGCTCAAGTTACTGAGCATTAACGTGGGAGATCATAGCTGTTGGTGGGGGAAAGAAGGGAGGGAGCAGGACTTGAAATTAGAGATGAGGCAGATGGGGAAGAGCTGGAAGAACCAGATTCAATCCTGTTCGAAAGAGGAAGGAAAGAAGTGTTGGATGGGGCAGGAACTCAAGAGGAGAAGCCTGACATTGTTCCTGTTCTCTGAATGTAGGAGGGAAGTTCAAGAGAAGAGGAGGTCTTCAGTAGAGAGTGCAGCTGTGGAGGGAGTGTTAGATCTGGAAACCAGAGAGAGCACGATATGAAAGAGACGTTGTAGCTGAGACGTGATAAATCTTCAAGGACAATCCTGATAAGGGAATGAGACGAGGTGGGGAGGACAGGCAGGGGGATATGTGAGAGATTAGAAATGGTAGCAGAAGAGAGGTGAAGGCAGTGACAAGGATAAGGTGCGACAGAAGCAGAGGACAGAGATGGAGGGAGAAGCAGGGACTGGAGCAAACGACACCAAAAGCAAAGAGGGTGTTGATGTGAAATGCGGATTTGTGATTATGGGAAGCGAGAGAAGATCCAGATGCAGGTGGGAAAAAAGAGCAGTTAGTGACAGTCTGAGCTAGAGAGGCATGGGTGGTAACAAGGATGGGCCAATGGAGCTAATGAAGAGAAGGAAGAGGTAGAAGTTATGATGCAGAAGAGCGCCATGGCTAACCAGTAGATAGACAAGATTAGAAGCAAGAGAATTTGAAATAGTCTAGGAAAGAAATGCTCATAGCAGCAAGTCTATCAGGCAGCTGGACTGTGTTGTCTCAGAAAGGAATAATAAGGTGGGACGGGGGGGTAAGCTCTGCCACAGGAAAAGCAGAAAGCAGGAGGAGAAACACGGATGAGAAGAGCTCCTTGGGGCTCCCCTGTTAGGCAGCAGGAAATGGCTCCAAAGTGCAAACAGACAAATGTAATACGATTTCTTTCCAACTAACCCGTTGATTGTGGATGATGTTTTTGTGCTCTCGTGCTACACGGGTGGCCCACTTCCGGGCCTCCTTGTTTAGGCTGTGCTCTTCAGTCGTTCCAGTTTCAGACTCCAGTTGTCGACTCTACAACGGAAAACAGAAAGTGAGCAAGTGCACTAAATGCTGAGGCTGTCTCTTGGTAAGAAAATATTGTTACTTCACCACATGACAGCTTTATATAGTTTGCATTTATCAGTCCCTTGGTATTTCCTTGCCTTGACTCTTGTTTGCATGAAACGAGACAACTTTCAACAAAAAAAAGCACCGTTTTTCATAAGCTCTGTCATGATTTCATGTTACGGAAAACTGCAAATATAAAAGCACATCAAAGTTCAAAAGAATTTACAATTTACTGTTCAAGACAAGACAGGTTTACCAAGGGGAATGAAGGCTGAATGTAGATTATTTTTAATGAAAGACATTCCTGAATAGAAGCAAGGTTTCTCCGGTGATATCTTTCCCTGTACTAATGGTAGAGTCGGGAGAGATGTTAGACAAACGTTTGGGCGCAAGTGCCCTTCTTGAGGTCTCGCTTCCTCCTCAGACCTGAAGAAGGGCACTTGTGCCCAAAAGCTTGTCTAACATCTCTCCTAACTATATTATTGGTCCAGTAAATGATAACCACCAGGAAAAAAAAGAACAAACAAAAAACCCACCCCAACCCACTTTGCTGCTCACGTATTTCCTGGACCATCATGGCTAGGATAACGTTCCAACTCTGCTGTCTACCTGAAGAGGAAACTGAAGCATCATTTACTAGGACATTATTTCCTGTAGCTGCATATGAAAAAATGTCTCATCGTAAATCACCTTTCATTTCTAAGGTGAACATGAACTTTATATAGTGTTTAAAAATAAGAATTTGATGCAATTAAAGCAGTGGGGGGGCTAATCCTTTTGGCAGACATGCCACAAATTAGCCCCATGCCCTCCCCGAGTGCCACTTCAATCCTCTTCTCCGGCCCAGTCAGCTGCTCTGCTTTCTGCTCCCAGCCTGATGCTCCGTTCCTGATCTGCTGCTTGGTTTTCTGTGCCCTGCCCAATCTACCACTGCTGCCTGTCCCCTCCCCAGTCAGTTGGCCACCCCGATCTAGTGGACCATTTAGGCTTCTTCCCTCCAAAATGGCTTTTAAACATACAGAGCAAATATAATACAAATATGCTAAATCTAATTATAATTTCACACAGATTTTAAGCAAAAAACAGCATAAAAATGTTAATTTCCTTTTCACAAAACCAAGACCTACTATGCCAAGTTTCAAACCACGTGTTTTATAATCAGACGTTTTTTGATACAGTGCCAACATTATGCCAAATTTTAACTTGCTCAAATAAATGAGAAAGTAAAGCTCTCCCCTCTCAAAGTGTGTCACAAAGGCAACAAAAGTTCCTGTGTATATGCTAAGCTAACTAATCACACCCAATCTTGAGGCTGGAAGCAAGCTTTTCCCTATTTAATCATCATCTCTATCTTCCACCTTTCTACAATTTTGTTTTAGGGCTACAGAATATTAATCGTGCACTTGTGGATACATTTTAGATGAAAAGGACTAAATTTCTGCACCAAATCAGTCCCTGTCATGTTCAGCAAGCATGCTCTCAGACATCCATAAATATTCTGGACTAATTTGCTCCAGCTATACTGCATAGTGGTGGTTCTGTTAGCCACTAAGATCAGTTAAGATCAGTCTAAATCTTGCTATTCTTGCTCTGGAATTAGAGATAGAAAAGATCCAATAAATGTCATCTGCCAATGCAGAACTGACCTTTCACAATATATTATCCACTGCTTTTCCTAAACTTTGATTCAATGGCTCAAGAGAGGCTCTCACTGCTTTCCCTAGGTGACTTTAGTCTCACTGCCACAAAATTTCTCTTGAGGAGTCAAATAGGTTTAATTTTACTCCATAGCTCATTGTATCCCTGGCACCAAACAAAAATATTCTATCTTCAACAGTATAATTTTGAATGCTATTGAGAGCCGAGCTAACATATCTCTTTTCTCTCTCCAATTTTTTCCCTTATATATATATCATTGCTTAAGCACAGATGATAGCAAGGAGAATTTCAGACTTAATCAATGGGCCTGGAATGACTCGCATGAAGGAGGCGGCAAACAGGGCTTTGAGTAGAGGCAAGGGGAGACCAGGCAGTAGAAGGAAGAGGCAAAATCAAAGCAGAAAGAAAAAGGGGTAAGCAGGCCAGCTCTGAAGGAAAAGATGGGGTTATATGAATTGTAAGAATTTGCGAGAGGGAGTAAGTTGATTATGACAGGGGAGGAATCGTATTTTAATGGTAGCATTTCTTAGGGCTTGGAGTGAAATAAGAGAGGATGTAGGGAGACAAACTTCGGTGAAAGGGAAGGGAAGGCTATTTCCCCTTGTAGATTATAAGGCCCTAAAGTCAGGGACCTGTTAAACCAGATTTGCACTGGCACTGACACAATGTCAATATTGTCCTATATATGCTGGTAGTAATTTTAAGATGGAGAGAGGTGATTTAGTACTTCCAGATATTTCTCCAGAAGTGGGACTAACCGTGAAGTTCTGGATGCAAAAGCGTGAGTCCCCTCAAAGTCTGAGTTAACAGAGCCAAGTCTTTTGGCTCGACGCACAGAGCAAACAAACCTGTAAGCGGTTTAAGCATCAGACGAGAACAAAGCCACACTGCAAGCATTACACAACCATCTGAGCAAAAGGATTTGGAGAAGCAAGGAGGATGAGAAGGGAGATAAGTTACATAAGGATGAGATTAAAAGCCCGGGTGTCAGAAAGACAGAGATGACTTCAGTGACAGAAGAGGGTTTTTTTCCAGGTCAAACATCATTCATTTGCCTTCTGTTTGTACATCTACAATTTCTGTAGGTACCTTTATGTAATTTCTCTCGCTCCAGCATTTACAACACCTCTCAATTCACTCAATTCATCTCAAGCTATTTCACTAAATCAATGATTCTCAGCCAGGATGTTGCAGCACCCCGGGGTGCGATGACATCTTTTAAGGGTGCCATGGAGTTCTGTGCAATATTAGTGTATTAGGCGTGCAGACACCTACATGATTCACACGAGAGAGTTCAAATAGGAATCCATAATGGCTGCTGTCTCCGAGTTCTTTGCAACAAAAAATGGCTTGATTATTTTTCCATAGTCAAAAAATGAATGAAAACTAACAGCTCGCATTTACTGAGGGTGAGGACCACTGCACTAGATGATGTTTTTACCTCCTATCACCAACAGATTATTGGACTGACCTATGCAGCCTGGGCTAGGTTTGTACAAAGCATAATCAAGGAAATACATTTTTTCCATGCTTGCTACTTGAGGTTTTTCTTGTTATGTGTTTCCTCCTATAGCTCCTTAGAGTTCACAGCCTGATGTGGCTTACCTTGTTGGACACAGAAATCATCTCTGTAACAAATTACTGATTTTCACACTGACTGGGTTCTCATTCATCCTGCTTTTCCTGAACGGTGTATTTGGATTAACGCACATATTGCCCATTTCAATTGCTTTCTAACATCATGCATTTAAAAAAAAAAATATTCCAGCATTCGAGCAGAAAGATACAAAAGCACACTTAGCTGCTGCCTGGAGGGTATATCTCCAGGGCAAATATGCTGGCACTAGACCGGGATGGTTATACCAGTTAGTTACTACGCTGTTTCCAACTTGGCCTCATCTATCCCCAACAAATTTAAGAATACTAACATCAAATGGATTAATAAAAAAAAAAAGGATAGCTTTAGTTTAAGATGCATCTTGCAGATCTCATGCAAAATGCAGCAATTAACCGAATCGGCATCTTCCACTCCGACAGCAGCGGGACAGTATCAATGCAACACTGATGTAAATGCAACTTAAATGCAACATTTCTCACTTGATAAGCATTAATGACTAGATACTGGATAGAGTCACTGATATTTAGCATTTTATAATTGCTCCATTCTTATATATGTATACTGAAATATCATCTGGAAGCCTCAATTAGACACCATATGAACACATACAAAGCCACACTGGTTTCAGGTAGAGGTCACAAGAAAAGAATTTATGATCATCTAATATACACCACCAAAGCCCCTTAACTCTGAACAGCTATTTACTAGATAGGACTCCAACTTAGACCCCTGCAAACACTTGGCACATGCGTAGCTTAAATGTATGTGAAAAGTCCACTAATTTCCAATTACTTCAGTAGATCGCTCAAAAGCTTCAAGCTGAGCATGTTCCCAAGGGCAGGACTGGGGTTTTAGCTAGTTGTAAGGTATCTGGTTTAAACTCTTTAAAAAGGAGAAAAGCAAAACCAGTTCTGATGTGGCGAGGAAGAAAGAGCCTAGAGAACTGAGCTAAATATAGCTGAACTTTCTGTCTTAGTCTCTGAGCTTGGATTACAGTGAAAGCAGTGTCATGTGCTAAAAATTCAGCCTTCTAAAGCAAATGAGCAAAATACCCGTCCACTGGGAACAGGAAATCACTGACTGAAGCACTGACAGACTAGCAATGATATGCTGTTTCTCAAATTAATTACTGTATTTAGTCTGCAGACGCATGTGTCATGTCTCCAATTTTTGTTTGAAAGGCTATTACAGGTGCCAGAGTTGTCTTATAAAAGGGACAAGTATGCAGCATGTATACACCCATAGATGCAATTACGCTGGACACAGACTGCACTCGTGTACTTTGGGGAGTGAAAAAACGTTGACTCGCTTGAATTAAACGCTTGCAGTGTTTTTGTAGCCTATGGTAAAAAAATAACTGATTGACAAAGGGAAAAGAAAGAATGAATGAAAAGGGCATGCAAACCACTAACGTAAAATATACCTAAAAATCAAAACTACTCCTCAGAATAGGAGGCTACCATGCAAATGTCACATTGCAAGACCCACCTAATCCAATTATTTTCTGGGATATGCATGACTTAAGTTTCACACAACTCAAAGAATTGTACTAAGAGTCAAATCTAGTGCTTACAGAAGAGAACTCATTAAGTTTTAGCTTTCCAAGAATCAGCTAGAACATACCAGTTCAGCACAACGACATTTTTGTTGCAAACAATATTTTGCAATTTAAAAGAATTCCAAGGAT